CTGAGCCACACAGTGGACACGAACACTGCTCACATCCATCCTCCAAACACGCACACTCTTATCCTGAACACACACACGCACACGCAAACGCACACGCAAACACACACACACACACACACACACACACACACACACACCACACACACACACACACACACACACACACACACACACACACACACACACACGGGTTATTACAGCTTCATAAAATCTTATATTTCACTTCACAAGTGCATTTCCATTTCCAGCACTTCACGCGAGGAAAATTAGATATTTAAATATTATATCAGATACTATTTCAGGGTATTTATACTTTACATGTACATAAACCCTGTCATATACATACCTTGTATATATACACCGTATATATACCCTATACCATATACACCCTATATATATATATATATATATATATATATATATATATATATACACACACACACACACACACACACACACACACACACACACACACACACACACCCTGTACCATATATACACCCTATATACACAGTTTACATATACCCTATAGCCTTATTACCCTATATATACTGTGTACCCTATACCATTTATACCCTATATACAACAAATATCATATATACCCTATATAAACCCGTTAACCTATACCATATTTACTTTATAAATACCGTTTAAACACTCTATATATGTCCTATAGACTATTACATATATACCCTAAATATTGAATATATATATATCCTATACCATATATACCTTATATATACCGTATACCCTACATCCCCTATGGATACCATAAATATACTCTATACCCTATACCATATATATATACCTTACATACATACCCTATATATACTGTATATATACTGCACGCCACATATACACCCTAAATAAAGTATAAACCCTATAGCCTTTAAACTCTATAAATATTATATATATATATATATATATATATATATATATATACATACAGACACACACACACCCTACATAAACTGTATGTATACCCTATATATACTGTGTGTATATATATATATATATATATATATATATATATACACACTCTCACACACTCTATACCATATATACCTTTTACATACCGTAATCCTCCCCTATATATACCCTATAGCCAATACCACATACCCTATATATAGCCTATACAGTGTATATATACACCCTATACCATATATATCTTTTACATACCACATATACCACATCACATAAACCCTTTATATATATATATATATATATATATACTATGCGCGTTATATTAATAGTATTTCAGCATATATACAGGTATCAGACAGTGAAATTTAATACCTTTTAAAACCTCATCATCACCACTTTAGGTTTCAACCGGTAACCATGGTGACATTTTAACTTGAATTGTATTTACGAAATACTGATTATAAGAAACTAATCATAAATTAAAACATTATTCATACACTGATTAAAAATGCTAACCCATCAGGGGGCGCTAACAGCAAAAGTAATAACGGTGTTTGCCTGGTTATAGCTGTAAACAAAGCAGCGTGACGAGAAATCTAGCAGATTTTATTATTGATTTCATAAACTACACCCCATCCTGATATTCGCTCATTAAAATCAGGCAAACGTTATTATACAACTAAACACTGTACAGTCAAATACAACACAAAAATGACACCTTGCAAAATAGCAGTTTTAAGACTTTTTAAGGGTCTTAAATTTCTTTAAATTGATTTATCAACTTTGAATACTTTTTAAGAGCCCGCGGAAACCCTGTATTTGTTTTAATATTCTATATTGTACAGTAAAAATTGAAATACAGTCATTTACTCTCTTTATTAAGTGCTTTGAAATCTTCATTTTTTATTAAATGATTTTTTTATTAGATGTAATCTTAACTGACACATAAAAAGAGGGCGGGGCATGCAGTAGCCCCTCCCCTTAAAACATAAATAAAATGATAAAACTATTATTTATTTTTGTTAACCATTATTTTAGTTTAGTTATTTTTTCAGTGACTAGTTATTTTTAGTGTTTAATTTATTGTGATTTATTTCAGTTAATAAAAGCGTTTTGACCAGTAGTTTTAGAGTCTTCATTATTATTAATAAGACGGTTGTGAACAAACAGATATTCTGCATAACTCTCTCTCTCGAAGAAGAAGCCAACAATTCACCTTTGCACAGGTCGCAAACATGCTGCCTTTGCGGAAGACGTCGATGGATAAGATGGTATCTGTGGAAAGATCATGAGATAATCTTAATCAGTCAGAATTTCAACAATGCAGACGCTTCATATTAACCCTTTACAGGACACGCACTCAAACACTCACCGTCAAGAATTATAAATGTGTATATTGCATTAAATAGAATTCAAAAACAATATTCTATCCGTCCATCTATAGAGCAGATCAGTCTCAAAGATAATACAATTACAAAGTGAAATTCATACACAATTCATCAATTCAAAACACAATTTGTGAATTCAAGTAGAAAATCAGTTGTGTTTTTCAATGACTTGTGTATTCATGAATTGTGTTTTGAATTTACAAATAGTATTTTGTATTTCCGAAATGTGTCTAGCCTATTTTACGAACTGTGTCTTGTAAAATTAGGAACTGTGTCGTGAATTTACGAAATGTGTTTTGTATTTATGAATTGTGTGTTGTGTATTTACAATTTGTGTGTTGTGAATTCACATATTGTGTTTTGCATTTACAAATTGTATTTACGCACTGTGTCTTGTGAATTTACAAACTGTGTCTTGTGTATTTATGAATTGTTATGTGAATTTATTAATTGTGTCTTGTGAATTTACAAATTGCATTTGTGTATTTACGAACTGTGTTTTGGGAATTTACTAATTGTTTTGTGTATTCACGAACTGTGCTTTGAGTATTTTACAAATTGTGTTTTGAATATTTACGAATTGTGTATTTACGAATTGTGTTTTGTGTATTTACGCATTTCATTTGTGTATTTACGAATTGTGTTTTGTGTATTTACGTATTGCATTTGTGTATTTACCAATTGTGTTTTGTGTATTTACGAATTGTGTTCTGTGTATTTACGAATTGCATTTGTGTATTTACGAATTGTGTTTTGTGTATTTACGCATTTCATTTGTGTATTTACCAATTGTGTTTTGTGTATTTACGAATTGGGTTTTGTGTATTTACGAATTGCATTTGTGTATTTACGAATTGTGTTTTGTGTATTTACGAATTGGGTTTTGTGTATTTACGAATTGGGTTTTGTGTATTTACGTATTGCATTTGTGTATTTACGAATTGGGTTTTGTGTATTTACGTTTTGCATTTGTGTATTTACGAATTGGGTTTTGTGTATTTACGTTTTGCATTTGTGTATTTACGAATTGTGTTTTGTGTATTTACGCATTTCATTTGTGTATTTACGAATTGTGTTTTGTGTATTTACGTATTGCATTTGTGTATTTACCAATTGTGTTTTGTGTATTTACGAATTGGGTTTTGTGTATTTACGAATTGCATTTGTGTATTTACGAATTGGGTTTTGTGTATTTACGTATTGCATTTATGTATTTACTAATTGGGTTTTGTGTATTTACGAATTGCATTTGTGTATTTACGAATTGTGTTTAGTGTATTTACGTATTTCATTTAGTGTATTTACGTATTTCATTTGTGTATTTACCAATTGTGTTTTGTGTATTTACGTATTGCATTTGTGTATTTACGAATTGCATTTGTGTATTGACAAACTGTGTTTTGTGAATTCAAAACATTTAATGAAGACACAAAAAAAATTGTGAACTTTACGAATTATGTTTTCAATATTTATGAATTGTGTTTTTACAAATTTCGTTTTGAATTAACAATTTGGATTTGTGTATTTACAAATTGTGTTTTAAATTTATAAATTGTTTTGTGAATATACAAATTGTGTTTGTGTATTTACGAATCGTACTTTGAATCTTTACAAATTGTGTTTTTAATTGGATTTGTGAATTTACGAATGGCTTTTTGTATATTTACCAACTGCGCTTAAACAAACTGAGTTTACAAAATTGTTTTGTGTATTTATAAAAATTTTACAAATTGTGTTTTGAATATTTAACAATGGAGTTTTGACTTTACAATCTGGATTTGTGTATTTAGAAATCGTGTTTTGTGTATTTACGAATTGATTTGTGAATTTTCAAACTGTGTTTTGATTTCCAAACGTTATTTTGTAAATATTTTCTTTTTAAGATTGATCTGGTTCCAAAATATGTGCTTAAAAACTACGCAGTACTCTGACCAATAAACTAGTAGCATTTTCGTGTTTTACGGTCACAAGACATCCAGCTAGTTGTTTACGTAGGCAGATCACTTACTTCATGTTTATTTATATAGCGATTTTCATAATTCTTTCCAAAGCAGCTTTACAAAGGGTGCACAATATTACATTACAATCAATTACAATCTGTCACGCATACGCAGTTACGTTTTTTTTCTCTCTCTCTGTTGTAACGGAGTGTTTATAAGAAGGTCTGATGCATTTGAAGAGGAAAGAAAGTGTTTACACAAACCCGGCGTGCTGTTTGGGGATGCTTAATGATCTGTGCTGATTATAATAGTGAATAAGATGGGGTATTTTCACACACACACACACACACACACACACACACACACACACACACACACACACACACACACACACACACACACACCAACAGGTATGAAAGCGTCACTATTTATAAAACTCTCTGATTAATTCTTTTCCTCTAAACACAGAGCAAACTACACTACACAGCTTTCAGTTCCGTCCGGACATGTTAACTTCCCAGTAGCTGATTCAAGTGTAAGTTTCAGGCTTGACGATTATCAATATTTAAATAAGATGTTAATTAATTATTTGAGTACTCTTTTACTGTGACTTGCTCATCAACGCTTAAGATTTAGTGATGTGTGTGCAGTTCTAGTACTGTTGTGAGTGTGTGTGTGTGTGTGTGTGTGTGTGTGTGTGTGTGTGTGTGTGTGTGTGTGTGTCGCCCTCTAGTGTTCACTCACCAGTGTGTCCGTGCAGGATCTGGCAGCTGTTGGTGCTCAGCTCAAACACCTTCAGCTGAGAGCTGTTGGTGGCCACTGCGATGTGTGTGTCGTCCTTCCCCACAAACTTCACATCCAGCACATCGTCATTGTAGCCCACGAACTGCAGGAACACGAGAAGAAGAAAACACACTTCAGCAGGCAGCGTAATGCATGACAGACACTCAAAACTGTGTCACATCACATCATTATTGCACCAGTTTACCCGATTACTGCCCTAAACTGCTCCTGATTTGGGGCTGTAAAAACAGTCCATGCACACGCATTGACAGAGTGTGTGTGTGTGTGTGTGTGTGTGTGTACCTGCTGCTGTACAGCGAGTGTGGGCGTCTGGTACAGCAGGATGTTGTGTTCTGCAGTGACTGTGATCAGTCTGCCGGTGCGGGGCAGCAGCAGGAGCTGCAGGAGGCCCAGGCGCTCTTCGTCTTCAGCATCTTCATCTTCAGTGTGAGACGAAGCATCAGGCAGAGTCTGGGTGAACACACAGCGGGACGAGGAGCTGTCCCACACACGCAGGACACCTGGAGAACAGGAACACACACACACACACACACATCAATGAGTGTTTTTGTGATGCACAGCTTTGAGTCTGAGAGATGTGTGTTGAAGCAGTTTACGTCAGTTATACATCTATATATACACTCACCGGCCACTTTATTAGGTACACCTACTAATACCGGGTTGGACCCCTTTTGCCTTCAGAACTGCCTTAATCCTTCATGTCAGAGATTCAGCGAGCTACTGGAAATATTCCTCAGAGATTTTGCTCCATATTGTCATGATAGCATCACACAGTTGCTGCAGATTTGTCGGCTGCACATCCATGATGCCAATCTCCCGTTCCACCACATCCCAAAGCTGCTCTATTGGATTGAGCTCTGGTGACTGTGGAGGCCATTTGAGTAAAGTGAACTCATCGTCAAGTTCAGCAGTCTGAGATGATTGAGCTTCATGACATGCTGCGTTATCCTGCTGGAAGTAGCCATCAGAAGATGGAGACACTGTGCTCATAAAGGGATGGACATGGTCAGCAGCAATACTCAGGTAGGCTGTGGCGTTGATGCTCAATTGGTACTAATGGACCCAAAGAAAATCTCCCCCACACCATTACACCACCACCACCAGCCTGAACCGCTGATACAAGGCAGGATGATCCATGCTTTCATGTTGTCTGAGCTGAGCATCCGAATGTGTCAGCAGAAATGGAGACTCATCAGAGCAGCAACGTTTCTCCAATCTTCTATTGTCCAGTTTTGGTGAGTCTGTGTGAATTGTAGCCTCAGTTTCCTGTTCTTAGCTGACAGGAGCGGCACCCGGTGTGCTCTTCTGCTGCTGTAGCCCATCCGCCTCAAGGTTGGCCGTGTTGTGTGTTCAGAGATGCTCTTCTGCAGAGCTCGGTTGTAACGAGTGCTTATTTGAGTTACTGTTGCCTTTCTATCAGCTGGAACCAGTCTGGCCATTCTCCTCTGACCTCTGGCCTCATCAACAAGGCATTTGCGCCCACAGAACTGCCGCTCACTGGATATTTCCTCATTGTCGGAGCATTCTCTGTAAACCCTAGAGATGGTTGTGTGTGAAAATCCCAGTAGATCAGCAGTTTCTGAAATACTCAGAGCAGCCCGTCTGGCAGCAACAACCATGCCACATTCAAAGTCTCTTAAATTCCCTTTTCTTCCCCATTCTGATGCTCGCTTTAAACTGCAGCAGATCGTCTTGACCATGTCTACACGCCTATATGCAGTGAGCTGCTGCCCTGTGATTGGCTGATTAGACATGTGCGTCAAGGAGCAGTTGGACAGGTGTACCTAATAAAGTGGCCGGTTGTTTCTATATTCTGAAATGGGAAGATGTTTATTTTAGAGATGCCGTCTGATGAAGAGGGTGAAAGTCAGGCTTGTTTCCTATTAGTCAGTCCAGCAGGTGGCGCTGATCAACAGCAGTTCACACTCATCATGGGTAATTTAGCGTTCTATGCAAAAGCTCTACAGATGGAGCAGTGCTGTGATGTGAACCTGTGTTTACCTTTACTGCCAGCCGTGACCAGGTGTAACGCGTCACTCTTCACTCCCATCTCTGAGTAATCAGCGGAGCCCGACAGGAGAACCACACCTTCCACAGCCTGAACACACACACACACACACAACACTCAGTACAGCACACACACCACAGTATTACCACGGTACACTGATTATTGTCAGGCTGACCTCATAGACCGGGATGGTCCTCTTCACCTTCTGCTCCTGCAGGTCCCACACAGAACAGATCTTATCTCTGCCAGAGCTGAAGGAGACAGAGAGAGAGTGTGTGTGTGTGTGTGTGTTAATGTTTGCTCATACTCAAGGCTCAAGGATCTGGTCTTCGCAAAGGCCTGCTCTGCTCTGATTGGTCAGACGACTCACCTCTGCTCTGATTGGTCATGTAATTCTACTCTCCCCTGATTGGTCAGGCGACTCTGATTGGTCATGCGAATCTACTCTTGATTAGCCACAGGATTCTACTTTCCTCTGATTGGTCAGACGACTCTGCTTTGCTCTGATTGGTCAGGCCACTCTGCTCTGATTGGTCATGCGACTCTACTCTTGATTGACCACGTGATTCTACTCTCTTCTGATTGGTCAGATGACATTACTCTGCTCTGATTGGTCAGGCAAATCGGCTCAGATTGGTCTGGCGACTCTGCTCTGACTGGACAGGCCACTCTGCTCTGATTAGTCAGATGACACGGCTTTGCTCTGATTGGTCAGGCAACTCTGATTAGTCATGTGACTACTCCTGATTGGCCACGTGATTATACTTTCTTCTGATTGGTCAGATGGCACTACTCTGCTCTGATTGGTCATGTGATTCTACTCTCCCCTGATTGGTCAGGGGACTCTAACTGGTCATGCGACTCTACTCTTGATTGGCCACTTGATTCTACTTTCCTCTGATTGGTCAGACTACTCAACTCTGTTTGGCCACTTGATTCTACTGTTCTACTTTCCTCTGATTGGTCAGAAGACTCTGCTCTGATTGGTCAGGCGACTGCTTTGCTCTGATTGGTCAGGCAACTCTGATTGGTCATGCGACTCTACTCTTGATTGACCACGTGATTCTACTCTCTTCTGATTGGTCAGATGACATTACTCTGCTCTGATTGGTCGGGCAAATCGGCTCAGATTGGTCAGCCGACTCTGCTTTGCTCTGATTGGTCAGACGACACGACTTTGCTCTGATTGGTCAGGCAACTCTGATTAGTTATGTGACCACTCTTGATTGGCCACGTGATTATACTTTCTTCTGATTGGTCAGATGACATTACTGTGCTCTGATTGGTCGGGCGATTCAGCTCTGACTGGACAGGCGACTCGACTCTTGATTGGCCATGTGATTCTACTCTCTTATGATTGGTCAGATGGCACTACTCAGCTCAACTACGACTGGTCGGGCGGCTCAACTCTAATAGACCATGTGATGGTCTACTCTGCTCTGATTGGTCAGATATATCAAAACAATCAGTAGATTTACCTGCTCTTTAATCTTTGAAATTACACAGAGCTTTACAAACACAGAAAGGCATAACAGCAGCAGTGTAAACACTAGGTTATGCACACTAATAACTCTTCTTCTCTGATTGTGACTGTAATGTGCACCGTCAGGCTGTTAAAATGAAACTAATAAACCTGATGGACTGACTGATCATGAGGGAACATGCGAGATCCGGCATTGACGCGTGATGTTTAAAAGCGCACCTGACGAGTGTGTGTCCGTCCGGGGAGAACGCGAGCGCAGTGACGGGGCTGTAGTGGCTCTCCAGCACACACACACAGCGGCTGGAGCGCAGGTCCCAGATGCGGATCGCACAGTCTGAGGACGAGGAGAAGAGCTGCAGCCGGCTGATGTCTGGGTGAAACTCCACCAAACTGCAGGACACACACACACACACACATTAATGTTCACACACACAGAGTAGGAAAAACAAATACTATGGAGGTCAATGGTTACAGGCTTCCAACATTCTTCAAAATATCTTCTTTATCGTTTAACAGGAACACTAAAGGTGTATAACAGGTAAAACGTGAGTTAATGCTGAGAGAGTGTTCATTTTTGGGGTGAACGGCCCCTTTAAGGTGTAAGGCTGATCTCAGAGCAGTCTGTTTCAGGGCTTCTGCTGCACTTACTGCACGACGCCAGAGGAGCCTTTGAGGTTGTGTGTGCAGTACTGCTTGATCACGTCCCACAGTTTGATGGTGCCGTCACAGCCGCCTGCAAACACAAACAACAACAACAACCGAGTCAGAAAAAGCTGTACTCAAGTGCAGAACTCATCCACATACAACACAGGACATGTTTACAGTGCAAAACACAGTGGAAGAATTGATCAAGTTAGGAACCCTTTACAGCAGAGGTCACCAATCTCAGTCCTGGAGCTCCAGTGTCCTGCAGGGTTTATCTCCAGCTTGCCTCAACACACCTGCCTGGGTGTTTCTAGTACACCTAGTAAGAGCTTGATCAGCTTGTTCAGGTGTGTCTGATTAGGGTTGGAGCTAAACTCTGCAGGACACCGGCCCTCCAGGAACAAACCCTGCAGAATATAATCCAGCCTTCACCTGTAGCCAGCAGTGTGGAGGTGCAGTCGAAGCTCATGCTGGCCACGGGCACACTGTGAACGGCCCTCCAGGAGCGACGACACTGCTGCTGCTTCCAGTCCCACTGCCTGAGGAGCAGAGCCCTGCTGGCGCTCACTAACATCTGAGGAGGAGCACGGAGAGAGGAGCACACTCAGCCATGCGGCACACTGCTCATAACACTGCCATCACTCATCAAGAGTGTGGGTCTTGCTTCTAAATATCTGAAAACTCTTAAATGAAGAAGCATTTTCCAGACGAGCAGAAAATATTGTGTGTTCAGAAGTAATGAGTCAAAATGAAGAGAGTTTCTCCTTAAGACACGCAGAACGATCAGCTGATGGGCTGATAATAACAGCTAGTCTGATGCTGGATGGTCTCACCTCATCATCAGGGCTGAGAGCGAATGCTGTGATGTCCTCCTGATCCTCCTGTTCAAACAGAAGGTAAGACGGTGGTTATTAGGACAGAAAGGGAGTAAATAGTGAGTCAGGCTGTACTCACACTAGGTACAGTTGCCTCGAACCAGGCCAAAGCACGCTTGTCCCCCCTCCCGTCTCCCCCAACGGCCCACGCTCACACCACAAACGGGCTTCGGCACGCTTACGTCATCGCTGCTGCGCTGTTCAGTGAGAAGCGCTCTCAGCAGCACAGTGGAGGTTTCTCTAGTTACATCGTTTCAGTCGTTTGATATGCCGTCAGATATTTCGCCAAACAGTCCTTAGGGATGCGGAGACATGCAGTCAGATATTTCGCCGAACAGATCCGCCACTTTTGGCGCTCATAAACAATCATAAAGCTCTCGTGCTGCAGGAATGAGGAGGTCTGCTGAAGGCGCAGCTGGCGTGCAGTGAGGAGTTTGCATCTTTAATAAACTACAGCAGTTTGCGATCACTGAACAGTAAGAATGATTAATAAATCCATATGAAACAGTCCCTTAAAAGTCACGTCTCGCTTTCAGTTTTGGGCCAAAGCCCAAGCCCGAGTGAACCGCACTTAGGCATACCTCTTCCAACCGGGCCAGGGCCGGCCAAGTGAAGCGTGCTTGAGCCTGATTCAGCGCACTCACACTTCTCAAACGATCCGGGAAACGGGCCTGGGCACGGTAAAGATGGCATAGTGTGAATACACCCTCAGGTTTCATCTGTGGGTGAATTATCCCTTTAACTCAGGTGAAGTGCAGAGATCTGATAGATTTTAAATGAACAGTTTGTTTGTGTGTTTTTGTAGTTCTTTGCACAATGAATAAAGACACTTTTACCTTGTAAAACTGTTTGTGTCTGTGTCAAATTTGTATAACTACAGAAAACAGATCATATATATATATATATACACATATTAATGATGGGCAAATAAACGTGTTATTATTGCTTTACGCATTAATTAATGGCAACAATAATTTTATGCTGTCTGGCATAGCTTAACTTCTATTACAATTTAGGCAACGTTTTAAAGTCCCGGCAGTGGCAAATATCTGTGGTTGAACATTTAAAATATAAAAAAATAGGTTAACTGCTAAAATATTATGGGAATATGTTTGTTTTGATGCAGTTCATACATGCACTTATTTTAAAATCATGTATATATATATATATATATACACACACACACACACACACACACACACACACACACATACATATATAGATAAATATGTATGTATATATAGAGAGATCTATATAGCCGTTTTTATTCATTCATTAATTTTTTTGTCGGCTTAGTCCCTTTATTAATTTGGGGTCGCCACAGCGGAATGAACCGCCAAATTATCCAGCAAGTTTTTACGCAGCGGATGCCCTTCCAGCCGCAACCCATCTCTGGGAAACATCCACACACACACACACACACACACACACACACTCATACGCATTTATTTATATACAATTATATAAACCTGAACAATGTGTAAAATAATTATCTTCTATCTTCCAAATAACCGTTCAGAATAATCCCAATATTAATGAAATCTTTCCAAATACAGCTATATAGGATATGTTGTGTAGCTGTATTCATATCGCAGCAAATCAAAAGATCTCAATGTCAGATTTCTCCAATATGGTGCAGCCCTGATTATAACTGGTTCACTCCCCCGTGACACAAAAAAATAAATAAATACATTAAATGAGCATGATTATATTCACATTTCAGTCCACAGTTAAGCTTAAAACTCAATTTTAACCTCACAGCAGCACAACACATATTATTAGTATTTATGTTCATGAATGAATGACTGATTATGCATGTAAACTGACAAAAAAACGTCTGTTTATTAGTTTCTGTCGTTGAGTTTATAGTCCAGATATCTGCAAACTCCTAAATCAAGAAGCATTTTCTAGACAAGCAACAAATAAAGTGTTGTTTTAAAAAAAAAAATAGTCAAAATGAAGAGAGTTTCTCCTTAAACAAGCTGAATAATCTTGTTTTCACTTCAAAATAAGATTGTGATCAATATTCTCCACATTGGCAGATTATTCTGCTTGTTTCCAGGTAAAACCCACTTCATTTTGACTCATTATTGCTGAAAACAAGTCTATATTGTATCCTGGTCCAGAAAATGCTTCTGGATTAAAGACTTTTTAGACTAGAAACGAGATGAAACCCTGAGTAGTAACAGTACTGTTAGCGGTTTAGTGTAGCATGTCCACTGGTATGATCTATGAGTGTGTGGACACTGTTCTAATAACACACACACACACACACACACACACACACACACACACACACACACGGACCTGTTCAATGCTGTGTATGATCTTGCCTGTGCTGATCTGCAGGATGTTGATCTTTGGTCCATAAGTGCAGAAGATGTGCTGCTCGTCTCCACTGACCTGACGGAGAGACAAGAGCAGGCAGGATTGATGACCGCCACTCATTCATTAACGCAGTGCTAATATTATTATGGTTATTATTGGCGATCTCACCTGCACTTTACCTCCCTTATAGAAAGGCTCGATTCTGCTGGAGACCGCATAACTAACACACAGATGATTAGAAGTCAAACCGGTTGTCAAAATATAGAGTTAGCATTGATCTGAGCTAGCCAGAATTATCTTACAACAGACGGAAACGGCGCTTACTTCGACTTGAAGAGCAGCGTTTTCCCAGCCATGGCAGCCCGCGCTGTTTTCAACTCCTCGTCGATATTGTAAATGTTGCTGTTATTGTTAAAAGTTTATGTGTTTATTATTTTTGCAGCCCTTGGTGATACACGCATGGTGCATGTGTTCATGGATGTTGTCGCACAGATATGACGTCAAAATGTTCACGCGAGTACCCCAGTGACGCCTAGCGGCAGACACGCGAACAGCATCAAAGAGCAGTTAATTATAATTAGTAGTAGTGTAGTAGTAGTAAATACTACTAATAGTAACAGTAGTAATAACAATAATTACAACAGTGCACTAGTATCAACAATTCTGTTATATAAACAGTAAAAAAACAAATTAATGAATGAATTAATTTTTTTGCACGAATTATTAAACATAAATGAATTACTAAATCAATTATTAAATGAATAAATACATGAAATATTAAACGAACGAACGAATGAATGATCGATTGAATAAATGAATTATTGAATGAAAGAATGCATGAACTATGAAATGAATGAATTACTGAATGAATTAGTAAATAAATAAATCAATAAATTAATGGATGAACGAATGAATAAATAAATTATTGAATGAATGAATGAATGAATTATTGAATAAATAAATGCATGAATTATTGAAAGAATAAATGAATTAATAAATTATTGAAATAATGAATGCATGAATTATTAAAGGAATGAATGAATGAATAAATTATTAAATGAATGAATGAATGAATGAATGAATGAATGAATGATTGAATGCATGAATGAATGAATGCATGAATAAATTTTTGAATGAGTTAATGAATAATAAAAATGAAGAAATTATTAAAGGAATGAATAAATTAATTAATTATTGGTTGAATGAATGCATGAATTATTGGAAGACTGAATGAATGAACGAATCAACAAATAAATGAATTAATTAATTTAATTAATTATAAAAATTAATGAATTATTAAATGAATGAATAAAGAATTGAAGTTGAATTGGATGAACGAATGAATGAATTATTGAATGGATTAATGAATAATAAAAATGAATGAATTAATGCATGAATTATTGAATTTATTGATAAAAGAATAAATGAATGAAGTATTGAATAAACGAATGAATGCATAAACTATTGAATGAAGGAATTAGTAAATTTATTATTAAATAAATGAATGAATGCATGAATTAGTGAACAAATAAATGAATGAAATATTGAATGAATTAATGAATTACTGAATGAATTGTTAAATGAATGAATTAACAAATGGACTAATGAATTATTCAATGAATGAATGAATAATTGAATGAATGAATGAAAGAATGAATGAATGAATACACAAGTAAATGAATGCATGAATTATTGGATGAAATAATGAATTAATTAATTAATTTATGAATTATTAAAATGAATGAATAAATGAATTTTTGAATGAATGAATACATGACAAAATTATTGAATGACTGAATGCATGAACTATTGAGTAAATAAATTACTGAATTTATTAATAAATGAGTGAATGAATGCCATGAATTATTGAACAAATGAATGAATGAATTATTGAATGAATGAATTACAGAATGGATTATTAAATTAATGAATTACTGAACAGATGAATGAAGTATTGAATGAATGAATAAGTACATGAATGAATAAATGAATACATGAATGAATAAATCAATAAATTATTGAACGAATGAATGAATGAATTATTGAATGAGTTAATGAATGAATGAATGAATAAATGATTGAATGAATGAATTATTGAATTATTGAATGAATGCATGAGGTATTGAACGAATTAATTTATTATTAAATTACTTAATGAAATATTAAATGAATTATTTATTTTTTGAGCAAATGAATGAATTATCGAATGAATGAATGAATGAATGAATGAATGAATGAATGAATGAATGAATGAATGAATGAATGAATGAATGAATGAATGAATGAATATTAGCTGGTACATCTGCATAAGATGATTAGTGCTTGTGCTGAATCTGTTTTCTGACCAACACTAGCTCTAGATGAGGACAAACGCTCTTCAGCTGAATGTTAACTTCTCCTTCAGTATTTCCCATATAACAACACTGATGCTGGCGCTAGATGTCAACAACATTCAATATCATACACTGCACGCGAAGAAGTCAGCTATCTCTACGTCACTTCCGCTCTCAGTTTCACATCATCCTCAAGCAGACCTCAGATCAGTTCGTGTCAGCGTGACCGTTAATATCCGCGGTTGTATAATCCTGACAGCTGATGCCGGGTCAGTGGTTTGTATGCGGGGCTCAGATGGTCACTTCCGCGTAGCTGATGTGCTGACTGTTAGCACCATGAGTTTAGCAGCAGTTTTGGGTTTAAAGAGTGTAAGATGTCAGATGTTCAGGTTAGTGTGTGGCAGTAAAACATGTAATGGTGTTTTGAGTCTGCGCAGTGCGGAGGGAAGAGCTGCGCGCGCATGTGCAGTGCGCTCACACAGCAACACATCGGTAGGTCATTTACTAACTACAGTAATAATATTAATAATAATCATTATACTGCAGCACATTTATTGATTTATATGTGATGGAGGAATAATTACTGCGATTTATTTCCAGATGACATCCGCCATTATTCATGTATTTGTGTCAAAAAACTAAAAGGGGGTTATTATATGTAATTAATGTCATTATATAATGCTTTATATAGTAATTATGTTGATTTATTTAATAATAATGTTGTTTTTAATGTTTATTTATGCCTGTGAAGCACTTGGATGTTATGTAGGAAAAGTGCTATATTTGACTGCTATACTGTACTTTTAGTGCTATACTGTACTGAAATGCACAATAATTACAGTGTTATACAGGTCATTCACTTATTACAATATTTATAATAACAATTATACAGCACATCTAAGGGTTTATATGTATAGTACTAATTACTGCAAATTATTTCCAGACGACATCCGCTATTATTTATGTATTTGCGTCACAAATGAAAAGGAAGTTATCAATAATATAGCAATAATGTTGTTTTTATATAGAAATGATGTTGTTTTTAATAATTGTTTATGCTCGTGAAGCACTTTGAGTTGGATGTTATGTAGGAAAAGTGCTATATTTGACTGCTATACTGTACATTTAGTGCTTTACTGTATTAAAATGTATTATTTTTAATAATTAAAGTGTTATACAGGTCATTCACTTATTACAATAACAATAATACAGCACAGCTATAGAATAATAATTACTGCGATTTATTTCCAGACGACATCCGCTATTATTTATGTATTTATATAAAAAATGATGTTGTTTTATGTAATAATTATGTTTGTTTTTTTAAATATGTTTGTGAAACATAAAATGTATTAATGTAACAATAATAATACAAGTGTTATGACTTGCAGTTTTGTGATTGATATAAATAATTGTGTTTAATCATTAACAAATGATGACTGCTATGCATTTTTCTCATTTATTGATGGATTTACACCCACTAAGATGTTATTCAAGGTACTAAATACTAATAATTATAGATATATGCCAGACAAAGTTATATTTGGGGTAATGTGAAAACAAAATACCCAAAATATTTATTGCAATTAGTTTTTTTCTGCCACTATTTGTTAAACCACTAAAGCTTTTACACATTCGTCAGTATGAAGTTTATATTAATTTACAATATAATCAAATATGTATTTGAATACTTCAGTACAGGTCAGAATAATCATCTGTTGAGCTAAATGAGGAGGAAAACATTCATTATTTTTATGTTTGATAATGTGATTTTTCATTGAAGTTACTTGATTTTAAATGTTTAGTCTGTGTATATACAAACACGATACTACATTAATAAATGCACAGCACATTTCTAATCATAATACATTTAATTAATCCTCTCCAAGAACTGATTTATGTTCTCTTCTCCATGATGACAGCACATAATATTAGACTAGATCTTCTTCAAGACACTAGTGTTCAGCTTACAGTGACATGTAAAGGCTTCACTAGGGTAATTAGGGTAAAGTTAGGGTAATTAGGCAAGTCATTGTATAACAGTGGTTTGTTCTGGAGACAATCCAACACTAATATTGCTGAAGGGGTGAATAATATTGAGCTTAACATGACTTTAACACTATTAAACACTGCTGTTATTCTAGCACAAATAAAACACATCAGACTTTCTCCAGAAGAACAAACATTAGAGGAAACACTGAGAGAAATTCTGTTCAACATCATTTGGGAAATACTTGACGAAGGAAAAAAATCTGCAGCCGGGTGAATAAATCTAACTTCAATTGTATATATAACCTTCTTCCTCTTCTTCTTCAGTTATGGCGGTGTCGGACGGCTCCATGTGTGTCTGTTCTGCACATGCGAACACTTTCCACTCTTCCTCCACCTCCATCATCCAGCGGAGACAAACCCAGCAGCCGGAAGACTGGAGTAAGCTTCACCACAGCTCCTTTATTCAACATATTGTTGATATACATTAATATTTTTAAGTCTGCATGGACCAGAAGTTGCTGAGACTTTCATTTCATTATGTTGATGAGCTTCCAACTGAATATTGAGTAGGGGGCGGGGCTTGTAGTGAACTAACATTAGCAGGGGCAAGGCTAAGAATAAGAGAGGTGTGTAGTGTAATGTGCAGGTTAGTGGTTTACTAATAATTTCAAGCTTAAAAATGGTAATAATGTGTGTTTTCCACAGCCAGTGACATGGAAATCTCTCGCTGTCACGTTTGCGCTGGGAGGAGGCCTGCTTCTAGCAATGAAATACTTCAAGAGGGAAAAAGAGGAATGTAAGCATGAGGGTTCATGCATCTGAACATCCAAATTAAATCAAGTAATACTTCATTAGGAGCTCCTCCCCTTCACCATCAGCCCCTCCCCTTTTTCAGCAGCTTCTCCTCTTAATCAATAGCCCCTCCCTTTAACATCAACTACTCCCCTTCATTAATATTAGCCCCTTCATGAGCAGCCCCTCCTCTTTATCATAAGCTCCTCCTCTTCACCAGCAGAGCCTACCCATCACTATCAGCTTCTCCCCTTGATCAATAATAGCCCCTCCCCTTCAACAATAGCTCCTCCGCTTTACCAGCAGCTCCTCCCCTTCATCAATAACCCCTCCCCTTCACTATCAGCTCCTCCCTTTCATAATCAGCCCCTTCCTTTTCCCAGTTGCTCCTCCCTTTCATCAGCAGCTCCTCCTACTAACCAGAAGCTCCTCACCTTCATCATTTTTAGCTCCTCCCCTTCATCAGTTTCTCCTTTCCTTTATAATCAGCTCCTGCTTTCCATAATCAGGTCCTCTCCTTCATCTGCAGCTCCTCCCCTTTACCAATAATTACCCCTCCCCCTCATCAGTAGCCCCTCCCTTTTATAATTAGAACCTCCTCTTAATCAGCAGCCTCTTTCCTTCATCGTCAGCTTCTCCTTTAACAGCTTCTTCTCTTCATCAATAGCCCCTCCCTTTCATAATCTGCCCCTCCGCTTCATCAATAATAGCCCCACCCCTTTCCTCATCAGCTCCTCCCCTTCACTATTAGCTTCTCCTCTTAATCAGCAGCTCCTCCCTTTCATTAATATCCCCTCCCCTTCATCATTAGCTCCTCTTTTCCACCAATAGCCCCTCCTTTTCACTATCAGCTCCTCCCTTTCATAATCAGCCCCTTCCTTTTCCCAGTTGCTCCTCCCTTTCATCAACAGCTTCTCCCCTTCATCAATAATAGCTCCTCCCATTCATCAATAGCCCCTCCCCTTCATCAATAGCTCCTCTCCTTCACCTCTCCTTCATCATCAGCTCCTACTCTATCTGTAATAGCCCATCCCCTTCATCAGTAGCTCCTCCTCTTCAACAGAAAACTCCTCCCCTTCATCAATTATAGTCCCTCCCCTTCATCATCAGCCCCTTTCTTTCCCTAGTTGCTCCTCCCTTTCATCAACAGCTTCTCCCCTTCATCTATAATAGCTCCACCCCTTCATCATTAGCCCCTCCCCTTCACCATCAGCTCCTCCCTTTCATAATCAGCCCCTTTATTTCCCCAGTTGCTCCTCCCTTTTATCAACAGCTTCTCCCCTTTATCTATAATAGCTCCACCCCTTCATCATTAGCCCCTCCCTTTTACCAATAGCCCCTCCCCTTCACTATCAGCTCCTCTCTTTCATAATCAGCCCCTTTCTTTCCCCAGTTGCTCCTCCCTCTCATCAACAGCTTCTCCCCTTCATCTATAATAGCTCCACCCCTTCATCGTTAGCCCCTCCCTTTTAACAATAGCCCCTCCCTTCCACTATCAGCTCCTCCCTCTCATAATCAACCCCTTCCTTTCCCCAGTTGCTCCTCCCTCTCATCAACAGCTTCTCCCCTTCATCAATAATAGCTCCTCCCATTCATCAATAGCTTCTCCCCTTCATCATCAGCTCCTACTCTATCTGTAATAGCCCATCCCCTTCATCAGTAGCCCCTCCTCTTCAACAGAAAACTCCTCCCCTTCATCAATTATAGTCCCTCCCCTTCACCATCAGCCCCTTTCTTTCCCCAGTTGCTCCTCCCTTTCATCAACAGCTTCTCCCCTTCATCTATAATAGCTCCACCCCTTCATAATTAGCCCCTCCCTTTTAGCAATAGCCCCTCCCCTTCACCATCAGCTCTTCCCTTTCATAATCAGCCCCTTTATTTCCCCAGTTGCTCCTCCCTTTCATCAACAGCTTGTCCCCTTCATCAATAATAGCTCCACCCCTTCATCATTAGCTCCTCCCTTTTACCAATAGCCCCTCCCCTTCACCATCAGCTCCTCCCTTTCCTAATCAGCCCCTTCCTTTTCCCAGTTGCTCCTCCCTTTCATCAACAGCTTCTCCCCTTCATCAATAATAGCCCCACCCCTTCATCATTAGCCCCTCCCTTTCACCAATAGCCCCTCCCCTTCACCATAAGCACCTCCCCTTTTTAATATTTCAATGTGAATGCACTACTTGCTCTATTTATTCTACAAAATGGCGTAGGATAGTGCCTAAGTAAGTGATTAGGGACGCACCCGCTGATCTTGCCTGCTTATGTAGTGTACATCTCCACACTGACTGATGACGCCGTCACTGATGTGCTTCTGCTGTTGTAGTGTTTGAGAAAGAAAGAACAAAGTCGATAGGGAAGCCAGCTCTCGGAGGCCCGTTTTCACTCCTCGACCACAATAATAAACCCAGCCGGAGTGAGGATTTCCTCGGCCGCTGGCTGCTGATCTACTTCGGCTTCACGCACTGTCCAGACATCTGCCCTGATGAGCTGGAGAAAATGATCGAGGCCGTCGATGAGATCGGTAATGTATTAGCATGTTTATAAACTCACGCTCAGGGTTGATTTGCACGGTTCTTACGGCAGCCCCGCTAAACAAAAGACTCTGCTGTTTGTGTGCAGACAACATTGACACTCTCCCAGACGTGACTCCGCTCCTGATCAGCATTGACCCGGAGAGAGACACCCCTGAAGCGCTGGCAGCTTATGTTAAAGGTGAGCAGGGTCGTCTGTGTTCCTCTGCATGTGCTGTGAGTTTGGTATGATTGAGACGTGTGATTTCCTCATCGTGTTTGTGTTCCACGTGCAGATTTCTCCCCCAAGCTCATCGGTCTGACTGGCACGACGGCCCAGATTGAGCAGGTGTCCCGAGCCTACAGAGTTTACTACAGCCAGGGCCCTAAAGATGAAGACAACGACTACATCGTGAGTGTTTACTGTCTACATTTTACTGTCTAAAGTTCGCTGTGATTGGCGGACCCAGTGTGCTGTGATTGGCTGACTCAGTTTGCTGTGATTGGCTGACTCAGAGCAATGTGATTGGCCACCCTAGTTCACTGTTATTGGCCGACCCAGTGCGCTGTGATTGGTCGACTCAGTTTACTGTGATTGGCTACTCGAGTTCACTATGATTGGCCGATGTAGTTCACTGTGTTCAGCCGACCCAGTGCGCTGTGATTGGCTAACTCAGTTTGCTGTGATTGGCTGACCCAGTGTGCTGTGATTGGCCACTCCCGTTCTCTGTGATTAGGCGACTCAGTTTGATGTGATTGGCTGACCTAGTTGCTGTGATTGGCCACTCCCGTTCTCTGTGATTGGCTGATCTAGTTTACTATGATCAGCCAAGCCAGTGTGCTGTGATTGGCTGACTCAGTTTGCTGTGATTGGCTGACTCAGTTTGCTATGATTGGCTGACTCAGTTTGCTGTGATTGGCTGACTCAGTGTGCTGTGATTGGCTGACTCAGTGTGCTGTGATTGGCTGACTCAGTTTGCTATGATTGGCTGACTCAGTTTGCTGTGATTGGCTGACTCAGTGTGCTGTGATTGGCTGACTCAGTTTGCTATGATTGGCTGACTCAGTTTGCTGTGATTGGCTGACTCAGTTTGCTGTGATTGGCTGACTCAGTGTGCTGTGATTGGCTGACTCAGTTTGCTGTGATTGGCTGACTCAGTTTGCTGTGATTGGCTGACTCAGTGTGCTGTGATTGGCTGACCCAGTGTACTTTTATTGGCCATTGCAGTGTGCTGTGATGGGCTGACTCAGAGTGTTGTGATTGGCAGACCAGGTTCGCTGTGATTGGCCAGTACAGTTCACTTGGATTGGCTGATCTATTTTGCAGTGATCGGCCGACCCAGTGTGCTGTGATTGGTCAATCAGGTGAGGTATGATTGGCCGACACGATGTGCTGTGATTCCAGTGCACCGTGATTGGCCAAACACCGTAAGTGTCTGTCAGTAAAATGGCTGTAACCATTACAACAACTCATGTTAGCAACATGTTATCAGTATATTCACTCACGCTAGCAGTGTGCTGATCATGCTAAAAACACACCAGAAATCAGGCTAATTCCAGCTAGCATATCGTTAAACATGTTAACAACACGCTAATTCATGCTAATAGCAAATTTGTTTAATATAAAGTAGTCCACTAGTCCCCTGAGCCTGTCCTCATGCGGTGTGTTTTCCTGCAGGTGGATCACACCATCATCATGTACCTGGTGGGACCCGACGGCCAGTTTCTGGAGTATTACGGACAGAACAAGAAGTCCTCGGAGATCGCCTCATCCATCGCATCCTACATGAGGAAGCACAAATACGGCAAATGAGGACATTACTCCTGTCATCAATCATATTTATTTTCAGAGCCACTCTGCTGGAGCATTCCCCGTTTCCCCATACTGCAGTGATGTTCAGAGCGTTCACATTCAATAAAGTGTGTTTGGGTTGATCTCCTGTCACGCATCGTGTGTTGAACTCTCTCATGCTCTTTTAGGACCCCCTTGCCTTAACATCTCACCTGTTTCCAAAGGCATATAATTTGAGGTACACTCACCCCATTACATGTGTCAAGGTTTAAGAAAATAAAACCGTTTTCTTTTGTGTTCAACAGAATAAAAAACAATTGATGGTGGGGGATTCCCAGTGATGGGTTGCAGCTGGAAGGGCATATGCTGTGTAAAACATATGCTGGATAAGTTGGCGGTTAATTCCGCTGTGGCGACCTCAGATTAATAAAGGGACTAAGATGAAAAGAAAATGAACGAATTAATGAATTTGTGTGAACTACCCCTGTAAGTCTAGCATAACATATGCAAAAATTCTTAAATCAAGATGCATTTTGTAGACTAGCAGAAAATATAGTCATTTTCAGAGTCAAAATTAAGTTTTTTCTTTAAAAAAAAAGCAAAACAAAATAAATTAATACATGTATAGTAAGAAGCGTCTAATTTCAAAGATTAAGCCAGAAAATACACACACAGGTTTTGGATATAAGCATTTCGCAAGACAATTGGACCCAAAACACTTTATAATAAGTACACTCTCTAAGCTAATCACTGTATTCCACTAAAACGTTGGTATATATTATTTTGAAAAAGACAAATAATCTTCTGACCACGAAGGTTTCCCCTTTTGTTGAGAGACTGACATACAGGCAGCCAATCAGCTTTCTCTGATCAGCGCAAACACCCCGCCCACGGCGCTCAGTGTGAGGCGGAGAGTGCAGAGCTTTGCTGTTTGCTGTTGAATTGCTTTAACTCCACTTCTGTTTCGGGTGTTGTGCGTCTATTCAAAGTAAGTGTATTATATCTGACCTTTGTAGCGTTCGCAGATTTGCTGCAATTATCTTGCGGGTTGAACTGCTTTAACATATGTGCTCAATGCTAATATAGTCTCTTGTTTTTAGCTCGATGCTAGGCTGTAAACACTTCTGTAATGCGTTACTCACGGGTTATCTGGCCACCTTTCATTTGTGTCTCCATCTCATTCCTTCACTAAGTGCTTGTTTCAGAGGTGTGTTGTAAACAACTTCCCAACAAACACATCTGTTACAGCGTAGAAATGTAAGACTGGAGAGGCCTGTAGCAGCTGAGGAGATCTGGGTTTACTACATTTGATGCTGGGTTATTTACATATTGACTATTCTGCATATGAGAAGTAGACCTAAGAGTGTTTAAATACTGTTTAATATTGATTATTGATCTTTTTAACTGAATATCTGCTTGTGTAAACTTTGAAGAGAAATAAATCCATAACAATTAGTATAATCAATCTTTATTTCATAGGCTAATAACATTGTTAGCAAAACGTAAATAAAATCAGCAAAAATATAGAAAACATTAAACAGGTTATTTTGTTTTAACAGCATTTTTAAAAAGTTTTTGTTTTATAAATGTTTAACGTTGTTGCAAATGCTTTTATTTAGCAGTGAAACAGAATGTGGGATTAGTATAATAGTATAAAACACTTAATAATGAATGTATTACAGTATTGAAAGATAACTGTAGGCAATCAGAGACATGATCACGCTGCACACATGAGATGTAGAATCGGCCACTCAACACTTACACACATATTTACTGAACAGGGAAGAGAAACCTATGTGTAACTTGTGTGAGAATATTTTGATGGTGAAACATATTTTAATAGAGTGTATATTTGTAAATGATATTAGAGAATGTTTTTATTCAGGAAATATTTGAAGGCAAATGTTTAAAAATGTGTTTTCTGGAGGAATTGTACAATATTGATCATTGATCAGACTGAAAGAGCTTATAAGACTTTATCAGTGTTGCTGTTATTTGTGTGTTTTTAACCAATTAATGATGTTTCAGAAACAGTTATGATCATCAATTATATATTGAATATTTAATACAAGTGTTGTCATGAATATAGCCAGTGCTGCTGTAATATAATACATAATTTAAGTGAACCGGATATGTTAATTAGAACAAGAAAATAACTTAAGTATTTTTAATTATGACAGATTTGCCTCTCCTCCTCCAGTGAAGCTCCTCCTCCTCCAGTTCAGCTGTAAACACTGTGATATTCCCATCAGGCTCCAGTGAAGAGTTTATTGAAGGACAGCGAGAACATGAGTGATCCAGAACCCTGCAGAATTAAACATGAAGACACTGAACAACAAATAGGTTGGTGTTTATTCCTGATTCTTAAACATCTTTTTGTATTTTGTTGTAAATTTTGATGACACTGTATTCAGCACAAACTGTGCTACAATGATGGGCATGCAGCACGTATGTATGTGTTACTTTTGAAAATAATACGGATATGCATGTTTTTTTTACATTTAAAAGTCACAAAAACTAAAATGCAGAGTTCAGCGCTAAGGATTTTGTCAGGCCAGTGGTAAAGGTTTTTACTTAAACTGCCAAAATTTGGCCCCACCATTCATTCATTCATTTTCTTTTCAACTTAGTCCCTTTATTAATCAGGGGTCACCACAGTGGAATGAACCACCAACTTATTCAACATATGTTTTACATAGTGGATGCTCTTCCATCTGCAACCCATAACTGGGGAACACCCATACACTCTCATTCACACACATACACTACGGACAAGCTTACCCAATCCCCCTATAGCGCATGTGTTTGGACTGTGGGGGAAACCAGATAGATAGATGCAAACACATGTGGGTGTAGAAAGTATTTCTTATTGTTCAGCACATTATCAACAGATTTAATAGTTTGCTAGTCTTCTCTGCTCACCGAATGGACCGCATCTATTCGACAAAGATACAGTAAATGGTATTATAATATCTGTTTTTAAAGTAAATTTAAAGATACAGTGGGGTTAGAAAGTGTTTACCACTTATTGCTTTATTATTTCTTGCGCCGGATGGTTTGCCAGAATATCTTTGGGGCCGACTGATAGTCTTCCTTCATGGTCTCCCCAAACTCTTCCCAGGCCTGTAGCCTATTTTTATTTTTATTTTTTGCTTCGACAACCGTACCGACAGCAGCACACTTGGCCTGTCGGTACCCATGATCTGCCTCTGGAGTCCTGCAAGCCAACCAAGCCCTGTAGGATTTCTTCTTCAGCCTGACGGCATCCCTTACTTCCGGTGTCCTCTACCGGGTTCATGGATTGCCGCCCCGACAGGCACCACAGACCTACCGGCCACAGATCCTCATGGCTGCGTTAACACTGGAGTCAGAGAACATGGATCACTATGTCTCCATGTCTCCAGCTTCCCTCAGGATCTGTTCAAAGCTCTTCCCAAGGTGAGAGTTGAAAATCCCTCTGACTTGAGGTTCACAATACCGCAACCCTCACAATATGCTTGGGCATGCCAGTTCTGTCCAGCTTTCCCCCTTGCCATTGTATCCAACTCACCACCAGGTGGTGATCAGTTGACAGCTCTGCCCCTCTCTTTACCCGAGTGTCCAAGACATAAGGTCGGAGATTAGATGATGCCACCACAAAGTCATTCGTTGACCTTCGCCCTTGGGTGTCCTGGTGCTACGTGTACTGATGGACACCCTTATACTTGTACATGGTGTTTGTAATGGAAAAACTATGATTAGCACAGAAGTCCAATAACAAAACACCACTCAGGTTCAGATCAGGGTGGCCGTTTCTCCCAATCACGCCTCTCCGGGTATCACTGTCATTACCCACGTGGGCATTGAAGTCCCCCAGTAGAACAACAGAGTCTTCAGTCTGGGCACCTTCTAGCACCCCTCCCAAGGACTCCAAGAAGGCCGGGTACTCTGCACTGGTCTTTGGCCCGTAGGCACAAACCACAATAAGAGACCCATACCTGACCCGAAGGCGCAGGGAGACGACCTTCACGTTCACCAGGGGAAACTCCCAACACCCCCAACAACTCCTAACACCCAGCACATGGTGGTAAGGTTGGGGAACTATAAGCAAGCCCACGCCAACCCCCGCCTCTCACCGTGAGCAACTCCAGAATAGAAGAAAGTCCAGCCCTTCTCAAGAAATTGAGTTCGAGAGCCCAAGCTGTGCGTGGAGGTGAGCCCAACTATCTCTAGTCTGTACCGTTCCACCTTTTGCAAAAGCTCAGGCTCCTTCCTTTCCAGTGAGGTGACATTCCATGTCCCAAGAGCCAGTTTCTGTGCTGAATAGGTTGTCGTGGTCTCAAATATCGACTACCACCTCTTCCACAATGCACCATCTCCTTACGGCTTCCCTGTGGGGCCTGCAGGAGGATGGTCCCACGTCACTCCTTTGGGCCGGACTTAGCCCGGTTTCATGGGGTAAAACCCGGCCCTCACGCGCTCTTATACGAGCCCCAACCCCTGGCCTGGCTCCAGAGCGGAGCCCCAGCTGCGCCATACCAGGCGACGTTACGGTCCTTGATGTTATTGTACTCATAAGGGTTTTTTTAACCGGACTTAGTCTGACCTGTCACCTAAAACCGCTTTGCCTTGGGAGACCCTACCAGGGGCATTAGCCCCCGACAACATAGTTAACCTGATGTTTCAGATAATCAATCAAATTTAAATGTTATTTAAATGTACCAAAAGTAACGCATTGCGCAGTTTTGAAATTCTGTGTTAATTATACAGACATTGTACTTAAATGACAAAAATGACTTCGGGTCATTCACGTGAGAAGCCGCTTAAATGTGCATACAAATAATGGACCCCAGAGGGTTAATATGATAAGATCAAACTACATGTACAATTTTTTTTTTACATAAATGTGCATCAATTGGCAGTTTGTGTAGCCAGTGTTTTCAGTGTCTTTTCACTTCAGCTCATGATGAGAGTTTCTATGACTTACTAAAAACCAAACCTTTTTTCATTTATTTCAGACCTCATTGAAGAGTATGAGGAGATTAAAGAGGAGGAACATCATGTCAAGATTGAGGACAATCATTTACAGACTGATGGTATTTTGAAAAAGAAAAATAAGAATTGTTTTACCTGCACTCAGTGTGGACAGTGTTGTGAAGGAAA